ATCGGCAAGAGGAGAATGGGTGAGCATTGAAAATCCTTCAAATAAGAACTCGTGCTCATCGTGCTTAATTATCGTTGGCGTTTTGGTGAGAAAATTAGTGGGAGGAGATATAGTAATTCGATAGTGATGAAGTCGCGGTGCATTATTTGAATTCATTACACATTTTGGATACCCTGTTTCACCAGGATAAATACCGTGTCTTATACCAATACGTCGAGATTTCGCCGAACAGCGACAGAGTGGACCATCGTTCATTTCCCCAGAATCATTATGCCACAAATCCGCATGCACTCGATATGGGTGCTGTATTTTTCGGGACAGTTCTTCCATACAACAGTCTTGTTCAATCTTTAATTCATCATCCGATGAATCTTCGGATGACGAAGAGCAAGCTTCAGATTTGTGTTTGCACAATCTACGCCGGGACTTTCGTGTTGGTGGCTCATACGGAGGTAAGGTTTTTCGTACGCGTTCAGCCCGCTGAATTAATTTTTCTTCGAACAATTTGCAAAGTGCTTCTAATCTGCTGGTCGATACAACTTCATTTGAAGCATTTGTGCGTCGGTAAAAAGGATCAGCAGGGGACGATCGTACCCATACATTTCGCGTATCTTCATCCTGTTCACCCAATTCTGCAAGTTTTTCAGCAATATCCTCAGATGTTTCACAGTAGTTTGACCTCCAATTTTTCAACAATCTATCCCTTTCAGTTTCAAGTCGTTTACCCTTGCTATCATTTCGGGAATCATAATGCTTTTCCCGCGGATTGTAGGAACCAATGTAGTCTGGATGTTTCGCATAGCCATAGCTTCTATAATTTATAACTATGTGTAACAAAGATACATGAATTCACACATATACACATCTTACCTTGGGGACGAAATTGGCAAAATATGAGGACGATGAATATAGGTTGAGCTAGACGTATTGCGAAAACTGCTCCTTGTTGCACTATGAACATGGTTTATATTTGTTTTGCCATGCTCATATGGAAAAGATCTTACGCCCTCGGCACACTTATAGAGCCCTCTTCCACTCCTATATTTATTATGAAAATTGTCGTCATATTTAGACTTATGATAATTGTATTCGTTATATGTGGGTTCATATGGAATGTATTCAGTTCTTCTCTGTGTAGATGATGAAATCCTGTACCCATGCTCATTGTAATATCCCTCAACGTAGGTGCTTGATTCCCGATAGTGGGGATAAAGCGGGGTAACACCATCCAAAAGTGGAGTTTGATAATATGCCGAGGGGAAAGGGTGCAAATTGCTGGCTCCAGGAACCTGAGGTATTGATGTGAAACTTTGATTAGTGGTATCCCCAGCACTGGTATTATATAAATGAAGGGGTTCCGAAGACGGTGCTGGGGGAGGCGGAGGTGGGGGAAGCGGTGGCAGGCCCGGAGGAAGCGGAGGCTGTGGTTCGGTTGCAACACTTTCCATTGGTAGTGGTGGTGCTACTGATAAATGTAGATAATTCATTTCGTCGTAGGCTTTTCTATTGCTTATATGCATTTGCATGCAGACTTAGAACCAAAAAAAAAAATCACTATCGACGTGAAAGCGTGAAAGAAACGGTCCGAAACTATCGATGGCATCAACATAGAGCTGCAAATATATCGATGTCAGTATCGATATATCGAGTAATTGTTTTTTTTTTTTGCCGACATCGATATTTTGTTGCCGGCCATTTGACTTTGCTGAAATTAGCCAAGAACGCAGAACGTATACTTAAACGCAGTCTGTATACGCAGAATTTTGTCGATTACTGGAGCCCTCAGTATTGCTTACTATAGTGTTACCACTCCTCAATGCCTTTTCATAAACTTACCCTTTCAACTACAGTTTTTCGTGCTATAATAAATCGTAGCTATATATAAACTACTTAGTTTCAACGAAAAACCTTATTCAATAGTAAATTTCAAATGTTTTAAACGTATTTTGAATAGGAAATTATAACTTTCTTACCATCTGCAAAACTGCCGAAGTGGCAACCAGCTATAGAAGGAAGAAATCAGCTGACACGGAAAATCTAAATTCCGCAGATTTCTGCGCTACGGGCTACAACTAAAATTTCTGCTGTGTTGAGTTTTTATTTAAATGGCGATCTGGTAAGACAGATCGTGTCAGCTGACTCGGGTTTACGTACCGGTAGGGATACGTTCTTGACTTATTTCAGCTTTAAGGCTCCGTTATACATACTTGGCATTGCTTGAGAGTTATCACATAAGGAATCTGTTAAATGAGCTTCACGTGTAAGCGGTTACCCGACGCACAGCATAACATAGTCTATTGGTTTTTGATTTCTACGTAAAAATAGTGTAGCAAGATAATTACCTTAACTGCGGCCCTGAAAAGGCCATTTGTTGATTGGTATATATGTATGCATTCATCTAAACATAAAATTTTAATCTTCTTGTTAATTAATTGGAGGCCATAAAAAGGGCCTTTGGCTAATGCCTGGGTTATAATGGAAGTAACGGAACGGAGTGAACTGTCACTTAATTATCTATTAGTTGCGTTCCAGCAGCAGTACGAATACTAGGATTTTATAGGATCTTACAGGAAGCTGTTCCCGCACGACACCTTACATAGGGTTTATTAATGGCTAAAACAGCTGTTCCTGTAAATCCTGCAAAATCCTGTAAAACCTGCTATTCGTACTGCTGCTGGAACACAACTACTGTATGGGAAATGAATGCAAATGGTTATAATGCACGTAAACGCAACTTAAAACGGAACAATCTAAAATCAATAGATCCTTACGAATTCGCCGCGATTTGCTACGATTCGCCCGGTCCATTATAACTAATACCATGTTCTGACCGACATCGAAAACAAGTTTTCGTTGCTAAAACTAGTTTTCGACCTAAAACATGTGTTTTCGTCTATGTAAAATCTGTCAAACGAAAACCAGTTTTCGCTGAAAACTACTTGAAAACTCACGTTCCACTCGTTTCAATCAGTGTCTTCACTAGTTTTTCGATTACTTATCGAAGTGGAAGTCATATTTTATCATCTTTAATACGCTATTTCGTATTTATTGTTAATTGGCTGGCGAAAGTAAAATAAGAATGAAAGCAAGAGGTTGCTAATGAAAAGAAAATGTGGCNTTTGACTTTGCTGAAATTAGCCAAGAACGCAGAACGTATACTTAAACGCAGTCTGTATACGCAGAATTTTGTCGATTACTGGAGCCCTCAGTATTGCTTACTATAGTGTTACCACTCCTCAATGCCTTTTCATAAACTTACCCTTTCAACTACAGTTTTTCGTGCTATAATAAATCGTAGCTATATATAAACTACTTAGTTTCAACGAAAAACCTTATTCAATAGTAAATTTCAAATGTTTTAAACGTATTTTGAATAGGAAATTATAACTTTCTTACCATCTGCAAAACTGCCGAAGTGGCAACCAGCTATAGAAGGAAGAAATCAGCTGACACGGAAAATCTAAATTCCGCAGATTTCTGCGCTACGGGCTACAACTAAAATTTCTGCTGTGTTGAGTTTTTATTTAAATGGCGATCTGGTAAGACAGATCGTGTCAGCTGACTCGGGTTTACGTACCGGTAGGTATACGTTCTTGACTTATTTCAGCTTTAAGGCTCCGTTATACATACTTGGCATTGCTTGAGAGTTATCACATAAGGAATCTGTTAAATGAGCTTCACGTGTAAGCGGTTACCCGACGCACAGCATAACATAGTCTATTGGTTTTTGATTTCTACGTAAAAATAGTGTAGCAAGATAATTACCTTAACTGCGGCCCTGAAAAGGCCATTTGTTGATTGGTATATATGTATGCATTCATCTAAACATAAAATTTTAATCTTCTTGTTAATTAATTGGAGGCCATAAAAAGGGCCTTTGGCTAATGCCTGGGTTATAATGGAAGTAACGGAACGGAGTGAACTGTCACTTAATTATCTATTAGTTGCGTTCCAGCAGCAGTACGAATACTAGGATTTTATAGGATCTTACAGGAAGCTGTTCCCGCACGACACCTTACATAGGGTTTATTAATGGCTAAAACAGCTGTTCCTGTAAATCCTGCAAAATCCTGTAAAACCTGCTATTCGTACTGCTGCTGGAACACAACTACTGTATGGGAAATGAATGCAAATGGTTATAATGCACGTAAACGCAACTTAAAACGGAACAATCTAAAATCAATAGATCCTTACGAATTCGCCGCGATTTGCTACGATTCGCCCGGTCCATTATAACTAATACCATGTTCTGACCGACATCGAAAACAAGTTTTCGTTGCTAAAACTAGTTTTCGACCTAAAACATGTGTTTTCGTCTATGTAAAATCTGTCAAACGAAAACCAGTTTTCGCTGAAAACTACTTGAAAACTCACGTTCCACTCGTTTCAATCAGTGTCTTCACTAGTTTTTCGATTACTTATCGAAGTGGAAGTCATATTTTATCATCTTTAATACGCTATTTCGTATTTATTGTTAATTGGCTGGCGAAAGTAAAATAAGAATGAAAGCAAGAGGTTGCTAATGAAAAGAAAATGTGGCAAAAGCATTTTGGTTTTGTTTTTGTGTAGCAAAACTGCAATGAGAGGATGTAAGAAATGTCAACGAAAACACTAACAGCCGGTGTGAACAGCCTTCAGCCCACAATTCCAAAACTCGTTTTCAAAGTTCGTTCGGTCAGAACATGGTATGGCTGCCTCTAAATTTGCATTTACCTCCAAAATAAACGATGTTGCTCCTCTAAAGAATTCTGCGAAATGAGAACATAGCTGTCAAACAACAAAAATGACAGTTGAAAGTAAGCGAGAGCTCGCATGCTGCTCGGTATGCGAGAAAAAGCATGCTTCGTACTTTTTGCGGTCTACACGTCTTGCGTCTTTGCGTCGTCACGCAAGCGAGATTTCCCAGCACGTGAAGACGGCCGGTTAGCAAATTGTAAACATCGATGGCAAACATCGAAAGTTGAACCGATATTATCGATGTTTCAAAAACATCGATGCATCGTTTGCATCCTTAATAGCACTTTTGTTCTTGGCATCTGTGTAAAATTGCATCTACATAAACAAACCAAAATAAACAATAAATATATTAAGAACTGCACCAAACTGTGATAATTAGCCTATTTGCTATGGCCTTTTCTACTGATAAATAACATACCTTTCTCAAATTAGGAAGTATCAAGTGATCAGTTTTCTCTGAAAAAAAAACAAAGTAATAAACTAAAGCAGTGAACACATTAATAAAAACCTCTTAATGTACAGCTGAACGTTCTCGTTAAAAAATGGAAGCAAATACCAACATTTTTGAAAGTGTAAGTTTTCTTATTATTTGCTTAATTTAAAAATGTTTTCAGACCATTGGTGGAAAATCTTTTTAGACTAATGGTGGAACTGGAGATTTTGGAGTTACTGAAGAATCAGGTAAATATATGATAAAATTAATAAACAATACTGTATGCAATTAATACTTCCCCACATATAAGCTATCTAATTTTAACAATCGTATTAACCATGGTTCATTATACACAAATAGCTGGGACTTACCGTTGATTTTTGATTTTTTTTTCACGCATTTTCTTCCATACAAGAGTCTCGTTCCTCAACTGGATAAAACCCTTGGTACAATAATTACAGGTATCGTCTTCCCAGAGAGCGCATATTCCGATCTGCCTTATTTGAAAAATATCATTGTTGCCCACACTAAAAGGTTTACTGTAAGGGAAAATGGACATTTCTATTCACCATACACCATATATGTACATATGTCGAATTTTTTTAAACAAACCTTCTGGCAGAGAACTTATTTAATTTGCAAAAGCCGAAAAATAAACATTTGCTTAGTAAACAAAACAAAAATTTTTATTGCTCAATTTATTTCAAACATTTTTTTTTTTCTTGAAAAACCATTTGAAAAACTATAAAAATTTAAGTGAGCGAAAACCAAAAGCAATGCCACTTAAAAGTAAAAGAATCAACATTGAAATGCGTCAAAACGAAAATAAGGGAGCACGAATTTCGATGTAAAGCAAAACTCTCTGGGAAGACAATGGTACAATAATTACAGGTAGTAACTTGTTATGCTGACCTGGAGCACTTAAAACGTAAAAAACTGAACACCCACCTCTTCGTGACCGATTGGCAATTTGATTCGGTTGCCGAATGTGCCATGGTGTTTTTAACCGACTTCCAAAAAAGGAGGAGGTTATCAGTTCGTCGGAGTCGGTAGTGTCTCAGAGGTGGTCCCATACTAATCTGGTTAAGATCCGATCAGTGGATCATGAGATATATATATATATATTTTTTTTTATATGAGAGTTGAAGTCGGTTTTTTTTTTGCTAAAAATTACTTGTTATTATGATAAACCCATGACATGATAAAAACATTACAAGGTAAAATCCATGATAAAAACATAGTACGGTAAAACCGTTCTCTCAATTCGTCGGCCATGATGTTTTTTTGAAGTTTGCCAACATTTTAANTTCTCGGACTAAAACTGGTAACTTCTGACAGAGAGAGAACCGTATTTACTCTCTTTTTTGTTCTCAATAGTCAGAGAACCGAGTACGGGATCGATTTCCAGTAAAATCTGACTGATTCTGACTAGTCCGGACTCGTACGGGATCGCAACTAATAGTCAGAGTTGACAGAAGTTACCATTTTTTACTAGAAAGCGATCCCGTACTTTTCAATGTTACTCTCTCGCTCTGAGCGAATTTTTATTTTTTGACAGTTTTACTAGTCCGAGTCCGAGGAATACGGGATTGCACCTAATATTTGTATCATGGATAAACTTGTAAAACTGTCAAAAAGCAAAATTGCTGTTAGAGTAAGAGAGAAAAACCAAAAAGTACGGGAATGCTTTTCGGGTAAAAACTGGTAAAACTGTCAAATACACCGTGCAAATACACAAGCAAATTAACAAAAATACTTACAAAACTTGATATTTCTTCGCTGCGATATATTTAAGAAGGCGAAAATGCAGATCAACTTTTTTTGGCTTATTCAACAAGAGAACCGAGTACGGGAACGCTTTCTGGTAAATTCCTGTAAATTCTTGCAACTTCTTGCGAGTTAGGGAACGCAAGTAAAGTATGTTTTTTCATGGAGAATATCAGCAACACCTTCCTCAAAAAAATTGCCAAAAAACCAAGGGTAATTCCTAGCTACTTAATTGCATTTCGTTAAAATAAAATTGAATGGCCCACAAAACTGCATACTCAGAATATTTATAGAAAAACATATTTTTGCCTATTTTTGTACAAAGTTTGAAACTATTATGGTTTTGTTTTTAGATAACGAGCTACACTTTCACAAAAAAGAATAAAAACGTAATAAACGAAAAGAAAAAAAGCCAAAGAATACTAAAATATCGTCACTGTATGCTTTGTTATGATTATCCTTGAATTAATCGCTGAATTCCTAAATCCTTCGGGTTAAAATCTACGGTTACTGTTTATTAACAAATTGTATTCAATACAACATATTTATAGTCAGCAGAAGCTACATATTTTTTCTACTGAGTACAACTAGGAAATGTAATTTCGAATGAACTATTTATTGTACATTGAATAAGAAAAATACTAGGGAACAAAGTATGGCAACGCTATGTAGTATGCATAAGCGATATACTGCTTTTAATACATATTTATGTATTTATGTACATAAATCTGTGGTCATAAGCAATAACGGCCTAAGACGACTTAAGAAAGAATTGAATTATATATGCTATCGTATTCTGCAACTAACATTCCATGTGTATGTGACATCCCCCTCTCCCCAGCTAGGCTATTTAAAAAGTTATAGACGAACATAACAACATTACAATTCAAATTTTCAAAACGTGTTTTCTCGAATTAAGGTTTTTCGACTTAGGCGGTTATTGCTTTTGACCATAGAAATAAGTGAAATATTCTTGAGTGATTATAATCACTGTAGTTGATATCAAATTCTACACGGCACTGTGAAAAATCTGATGGATACATTTGTGTACGTGTGGTGCTGCACGTCCTTCTAACATATGTATACGTTTTGGCATACTGCCAGACTGCTTACTCCCCTTGAGTTCGGCATTCAAATTCTAATCATCTGCTATGTATGTATGTAAATTTTCGACACTAGTCGTCTAAGGGCCGGTTACTCAATGTCTGGTTAACACTAATCTGCGGTTAGACATCGTTATCGACGTCTTCGACTCCATGCGTACACAACAGGTAGTCAGTAACGTCGATAGCGATGTTTAACCTCTTGTTATAATTAACCAGACATTGAGCAACCGGCCCTAAAGCTCATAAATTTGCAGGCACTCGCAAGTCGTAGAGAAATGCTAGGTATAATGTTTATCGTAAAATGACTATTGGCGGTCAATATCGGTTGGTCCCATAAAAGTTGTATGTGCATAAGAAATTTTTGACAGTAAACTGCCGGCGTGCGTGAATATTAGGTTGGCTTGTAACAGGCGTGCGTAAGAAGCTAGCTCAAATTCCAAGATTTGTGTTGCGTGATATTTCGATTTGACGTATGTGCTCATTTGACATTGTGGCGCGACTATGAATTAAAATTTTGGAACAAGTGCAGAATAGCTCCGATTTTCAAATAAAAAAAAATGTTGGGGTCGATAGAGATGGTTGAGCTGAACATAACGGTATATTCTTTTTGCGGAAACAACAACTACAAAAGTTGTTAAGGGTTAAAGTTCAAATTAAACAATTCTTTAAATCAAAAATTTTTTAAAACGAATGCATGGATTTTAAAAATTTTGATCTCATTTGATAGGAAATTTGATTCCCTTTAATTTGATATAAATATAATCCACCCTAAGTAGAATTCTCCTTTCTGTGTTGCCACAGAAGAGAAGCGGAATTCCTTTCTGCGTACATTAATTCGATTTTTGTGAAAACTAAACAAGGCATCTATAAAGTATGTATATCAAATTAAAGGGAACTATCGATTAAGACCAAAACTTTTAAAATCCATTCATTCGTTTTTAACACATTTTGATTTAAAAATTTTTTTACTTGGAACTTTGACCCTTAATAAATTTTGCAATTGTTGTTTCCGCAAGAAGAGAAATATACCTAGTCTGTTCCAATAGCAGTCCGGTTTACAGGATTTAGTCAGAACTTACAGGATTTAGTCCGGAGTTTTTTTTCCTGTAAGTTCATGAAAAGTGTCAAACGATCAGCTGATTTACATGTGCAAACAAAAACAGAAAGCGGTGAAAGCAAAGAACCTTATATTTGTTAAAAAATGGAAGTAAACAACGAAATATTTGAATATGTATAGATTTTAATAATTATTTAGTGATATTTCAGCCAAATCAGTGTAGTACCAATGACATGTAAACAAACCGTCTGACGTTTTTACAGGAAATAGTGCTTTTTGCGTTCCTATGCACTTCTGCATCTGTTCTCCTTTTACTCTCATTTGAGAGCGTAAAATTGTAGTTTGACAGTTCCACAGGTTTTAGTCCGAAGTTCAAAGGAACAGACTAACCGTTATACTCACCTCAATGGTCTCTATCGATCCCCATATGTTTTTTTTATTTGAGAATCGAAGCTATTCTGCATTTATGCTCAACTTCTGAAATTTGACAGAAATGCAACTCTGAACGCAAATTTATTTCGGTTACTCAAATGTGAAAAACTTGCGTGCGTGCGTAGAAAAATTCACGCCTGTAATATTAGTTTGGCCTGTAAATCCTGTAACTTCTGACTAGGAACAGTTGCTCAGTTACTCTCTCAAAAGTGTTCCCACTCCTGGTTTTATGTCAATAGGAACGACTTCCTGTAAGTTCTGACTAAATCCTGTAAACCGGACTGCTATTGGTACAGACTAGAGCTGTAAAAGTAACGAAATTTCGGATACCCGTATGTATTCGTTACTAATCCAATCAACACCCGTATCTTTCGTATCGTTACTTTACACGATGATGGTGCATATACGGAACATGCGAGTAACGAGATTATTATGTGTGTAACGATTCGGTACTTCGAGTCAGGGGTTGTATTCGTTATTCAGTATGAAGAGAATAAACGTGAAGAAATTATCGCAAAAATGTATACACACTAGGGATGTTAATTTTTTCGATTTTTGCGATCCCGGGATTTTCGGGACATTGTTCATACCATCCCACAGTAATCAAATTTATACGATGCAAAAAAACTTAAGTAAACATATATATTGTGTGGCTGAAAGAAGTGCTAGAAATAAAAGAAACGCCGTATTTTAACCAGTTTAGTCTATATTTTCTTTGCTTATTTAATATTTAATTTTTTTGTTATAAAAGTCGACCTTATTCTACATATAACATAATTTAAATGCGCTTTTAAAAACTTGTACTAAAATTATAAAAATACAAAAAAAAATTGCCAAAATTTAAAACTTTTTACTCAGCATTTTTAGAAAAATGTGGGGTACACAGTTTTATAGCCCATTAAATTAGGATAAAATGCATTTTCTTCCATATAAACGAATTGTCGAACATACATTGTATGGAAGAAAATGCGTGACACCGCCGGCGAAAAAAATTATAAAAAATCAAAGCTAATTTTAGTCACTTGAAACTTGCATTTTATCCTCCTGTAATTTAATGGGCTATACTTATAAAATTGCGTATCTAGAATTTTTCTAAAAATTCTGAGCAAAAAGATTGAAACAGTTTGAAACAAAAAAAAATTCAAAACACACCGAGCAAGCAACATACCTACTCACGACACTATGGCCCAAATATAGTAAAACTGCGTTTTTAGTTTTAGAATTTTATAATTTCGAAGGTATGTTAAATTCTAAAATTATTTAAAAAATTCAGTGCAATATAGAATAAAAATACATACCAAATGAAAGAGAAAATTCTGTAGGAATCAAAAAAATTTTAATTTTTTGGGTTCACAAGGACGAATAGGTATTGAAAATGCCCTTTTAAGCAATTTTATTTTTTTAAGCTAATAAAGTAGACGGACTATATTCGAGGACGTTGTCGAGTTCATATTAGCCCTTAACATATAATTTTTTCAAAATAAATATTGCAAAATTTCAAGGATATTCAATGATAAAAATTTTTAAGGACATTTTCAATACCTTATGCACCAAAAAATTTAATCTGTTCTTTCTCTACAGAATTTTCTCTTTAATTTGATACCCATACTGTTTTCTTAAGTACATTGCACTAAATTTTTAAAACCATTTTCTGAATTACTCATATTATTCAATTTCTAGTCATTTTAAAAAATCCTGATGTCAGAGAGAAAATCTAAAAACCCAATTTTAATGCCTATATTTGGCCCATGGCTTCGCGAATATATGTTTTTTTTTTCTGTATGTAAAATTGCCTGTCGCACAGTGTTAAGTGTATGTATAATTAGCTAGACATTTATAAAAAAAATATTAAATATTAAATAAACAAAAGAAATATAGCAAAAACTGGTCAACATAAGGCGCTTCTATTGTTGCCACCATTGCAAATTAAAAATCCCGAAATCCCGTTATTTTAGGCAAATAATCCCGGGATTAACATCCCTAACACACTCAGTATATTATTCATATCCATGATTATCTTGAGTATGGTTTGATTAAAAAATAACAAACATAATAATTATAAAAACCTTTAAAAAAATTGCAAGAATGATAGACTGCAATATAGCGAGACTACCAGTTATATTCTACTAGCCGGCCATGGATGCGCGAGGCGCCACGCGCTGAATGTATGCATATGTATGTACATTTACGTATTTGGAGAAAGAAATCATATGCCGTCATGTACTTCGATTATTATGTACATAAAAAATCTTGTCTAAATCCGTTCAGTAGCGTGGTTAAAATATCTCGCCTTTCTCCTTTATACTATTTATAGAAGATAGTCATTTTAAATAGATGGCAACCCTACTCCAAAAACTTAAAGTTTGTGTACATGCGAAGGCCATGCACTTTCATTTGGTATCTTATTTTTTTATCCAACGAACGGTGAAGATCTTATAGTTTTTAAAAAGGGGGCAGCCCTACTCAGAAAAATAATGCATTATTACACATCCAGAGGCTAAGTCTTTTCGTTTGACAGTGACGGTACAGAACTGATGTCTACGGTTANCAAATTAAAAATCCCGAAATCCCGTTATTTTAGGCAAATAATCCCGGGATTAACATCCCTAACACACTCAGTATATTATTCATATCCATGATTATCTTGAGTATGGTTTGATTAAAAAATAACAAACATAATAATTATAAAAACCTTTAAAAAAATTGCAAGAATGATAGACTGCAATATAGCGAGACTACCAGTTATATTCTACTAGCCGGCCATGGATGCGCGAGGCGCCACGCGCTGAATGTATGCATATGTATGTACATTTACGTATTTGGAGAAAGAAATCATATGCCGTCATGTACTTCGATTATTATGTACATAAAAAATCTTGTCTAAATCCGTTCAGTAGCGTGGTTAAAATATCTCGCCTTTCTCCTTTATACTATTTATAGAAGATAGTCATTTTAAATAGATGGCAACCCTACTCCAAAAACTTAAAGTTTGTGTACATGCGAAGGCCATGCACTTTCATTTGGTATCTTATTTTTTTATCCAACGAACGGTGAAGATCTTATAGTTTTTAAAAAGGGGGCAGCCCTACTCAGAAAAATAATGCATTATTACACATCCAGAGGCTAAGTCTTTTCGTTTGACAGTGACGGTACAGAACTGATGTCTACGGTTATTATGATTGAATATATTAACAGGTGGCAACGCTATTCAAAAAAAAAAAAACATATTAGTGCTTTTCTAGAGGCCAATCCCTTTCATTTGACATCTCATCTTTTGTAATCCAACGAACGGTGCAGATTTCTAAGTAAAAAAGATCCCTCTACTGTCGATACAGAGAAAATCTCGTCAAAATCCGTTCAGTAATTTTCAAGATTACCGCGTACAAAGAATCTCGACTTTCCGTTATACTATGTATAGATGTTATTTGTGATAACGTAAGTGCTACTACGTTTTTCCGAAAAATGGTTTTTGGCCGAATTAAGTTGCGTGGGGCTAAAACTTTTTCAGCGGCGTATTATTTTCCTTAATCCTCCTTAAATATGCACTGGTGTGAAATTTTAACGTCTATGATTTATGGTTTGACCTATATGAAATATTGCAGATTTCTGCCGCTACCAATTTCCGCCTTGCCCCACTCAGTGTTATACCAGCATCCGTTTCTTTTTAGTCTGTATGAAGACACAAAGTGACACTAAATGCAGCAGTGCATCAAGAGCAGCGCCACGTGTTGTAGAGAAAGCGTCCGTACAACACACAGTCATTAGTCCTTTGAAGTTTTGCAAGCCGACTTCCCACGCTCTTGATTGAGAATCTGCGCCCCTTACCTGTTTACATTGCCAAAATGCTGCCAATTCTTTAGAGGTTTTGTGTTCCACGTTAGATTTTCACGACAGTTTTGTATCTTGAATTACTTCTAGATACTTCACTTCGGAAGAATTCTAAATTGTGACTCCTTTAATGTGAGGCAATGAGACCATACAACCTTCTCCGAAGCCTGTTCCGGACTATGCTTCTTCGGACTATTAAAAAAAAAAAGAGTTTTGTTATGTAAATTTATTTATTTTGTTTAAAATGAAAAAAAGCTTTTTAATAAATAAATGTTTCAAAATTGGATTTTATTTTATTTCTTCATCTCTGCACATCTTGNCGGCGTATTATTTTCCTTAATCCTCCTTAAATATGCACTGGTGTGAAATTTTAACGTCTATGATTTATGGTTTGACCTATATGAAATATTGCAGATTTCTGCCGCTACCAATTTCCGCCTTGCCCCACTCAGTGTTATACCAGCATCCGTTTCTTTTTAGTCTGTATGAAGACACAAAGTGACACTAAATGCAGCAGTGCATCAAGAGCAGCGCCACGTGTTGTAGAGAAAGCGTCCGTACAACACACAGTCATTAGTCCTTTGAAGTTTTGCAAGCCGACTTCCCACGCTCTTGATTGAGAATCTGCGCCCCTTACCTGTTTACATTGCCAAAATGCTGCCAATTCTTTAGAGGTTTTGTGTTCCACGTTAGATTTTCACGACAGTTTTGTATCTTGAATTACTTCTAGATACTTCACTTCGGAAGAATTCTAAATTGTGACTCCTTTAATGTGAGGCAATGAGACCATACAACCTTCTCCGAAGCCTGTTCCGGACTATGCTTCTTCGGACTATTAAAAAAAAAAAGAGTTTTGTTATGTAAATTTATTTATTTTGTTTAAAATGAAAAAAAGCTTTTTAATAAATAAATGTTTCAAAATTGGATTTTATTTTATTTCTTCATCTCTGCACATCTTGATTATTCAAAGGATCTTTTAAACGCTTGAGAAAAACGTTCAAATTTGATTATCGAGCACATCAACTTGCTATTTTTTGTATATAAGTTTTACTCTTTTACTAAATCCACAAATATTTAAAAGAAAATCTCCCCTCAAAAAATTTCAATGTGGCAAAGCTATGCTTACTGTTTGCATCTGGAGAAATGTCAAAAATCTGCTTTATAATCAAAAAATAGTAGTAATTAAACTACCTTCCTTTTTGTATCATG